GGGGGTGCGCGGCTCGGGGCTGCGGGGGTGCGGGGGGCGGGGCGGCAGGGGTGGAGGCCCGGGGTTGGCGGACCGGGGGTTGTGCCAGCGGGGGTGCACCGGCGAGCTCGGAGGTCCGCGGACCGGGGGTGGCGGGGCCGGCTGCCAAGGGTCGGGGTTCCGTGGCGGGAGTGGGTCCGGGGGTCCGAGGGCCTGGCTGGCGAGGGTGCCGGGGCCGGGGCCGGGGCCGGGGTGCCGGGGGTCGGTCGGGGATGCCGGGGGTCGGGCGGGCGCGGGGGTTGTTTCCGGGGTTCGGGGGTCGGGGCCCCCGCGGGAGGGGGTCCGGGGGTGAGATCCCGGCCCCGACTTTGCCCCCAGGGGTCCCCGGGTGACAACCCTGCCGGTTCTCCTTCACTCTTACGGCTATCTGTCTCCTCTTCCGTTGCCATTTCGCCTAGTTCTGCATAAGCCAAAGAATTCCCAGGACACACGCAATGCGAGGTTTTTAGGTTCCCTAGGTTCCCAACTTTGTTGGCTTATCTTTATAGTCTCCTTTGCTATCCCCGTATCCTGATTGCCCTTCCTTAAGGAGGAGCCACGACTGGCCCTGCCGCCCAGCCGAGCCATGAACGTGACTGGGCTTCCTTTATCACAAGCTCGTTTGTAGTGCCCTTGTCCCGTTAGCCGACGCGAGGGAGTCCGGGTTAGGCATCCTACTAGGGGGAGCCTTCCCGAGCAGCGTTTCCCGTTTTTTACCTTCCGGGTTATGGTCGCTCATTAGGAGTCTACTCCCTTCTTTGTTTTTCTAGTGGGTTTTAGCCATCCGGGTCCGAGGACCTTTTCTTATTCCCATCGGCGGATTTCCGTACGCAGCGAACTATACTGGATCTGCCCTATTGGCCTGCCTGCGGATCCTAGTCCCTAGTTCTCTCCTATCTCGATTTCCCTTTGGATTATGCATTCGTGCCCTGTCTGGTCTAGCCAGGGCGCACGAAATATCAGGATCTGGATGACCTCCAGTAACTCGTGGGCCCTTTTTTCCCCAGAACGGTCCATGCCTCACGGCGACATCATAGAACATCCCGATGGTTAGAGAGGAAAAGTGGTCTGCCCACATTATTGCCGAGTCTGCCAGCTCCCGCGCCCTTGCGAGGCTCCCGAAGACGAGATCTATCATAAAACGGGGGACCCGGCACCTCAGCGGCGTGGTTGGGCATGAACCCGGATAGGACAATCGTCTATGTAGGTCGCGCCCCGGCCTACCTCCCGCCGGATGACTCCCCACAAGGCCTCGCCATTTATTTGTGGGACTCCCGACTTAGTATCTATTGCCGCTCGTAGAATGCAAAGCACTTCGCCGCCCTGTTCGTCCCCGAAAGGCCCCATCTTTAGAAAGGCCCGATAGTATTCTCGATACATTAATGCTTCGTCAAAATTTAGCCTAATTACGGCAATCACCACCTGCTCCACTCGTTCTATGCCCCCCATTCGTCTTAGCAGGAAGGGTGGTAGACTCGTCCGTACGACCTCACTGGGCAGCTCGAAAACCCCCCCCGCGGCGACTTTTACCTCCGCCGTTACGTCATCTCGTTCAGGGTCTGCAAACTCAAACCCCTCCCGCCAGGTTATTTGCTACGCCCCTTCGAACATTCGCACGGGGTCATCCCCGGAAGCCAAAGCAATCCCAAAGGTTCACCATCCCATCTTCCGATAGGTGTAAGGATCTCGTCGTATGTACACGCCCTGGGCGGTTCAAGTCTACACCCCCGAACTCCCCTCTCGCACGCCATTCCAGCTCTACTACTAGGTACACCGTATCTTCCACCAACTCTACCCCCACCCAGTCCATTACTGGATTGCCTACCGTACTTCTTGCCGGCAGGTTTATTTCGACCCAGCCCTCTGATGTCCTTGGTGGCAGGATCCCACGAGGTCTATCCTCCCAAAACGTCATTCGCCGGACCATCTCGCAATGTCTCCTTCCCCGCTTTCTTAGTCTGCTTGCTGCACCCACCGAGATTCCACGCCTTTCGTGTTTTAGTCTTTCACCCCCCCCCTTACTTATCGTACACTGGTTCTTGCCGCTATCCCGTTTCCATGCCTGCCTTTATTTTGGCCTCTTCGCGTCCCTCGCTGACTAATGTACATGCTCCTTCCTTATGTTACATCCTAATTCACATGCATCCTCCATACTCCGTCCTTCCCGTGACGCTCAAACTTTGAACCCTTCTAATCAAACCACCGCACCTCAAACAGCAAAAAGACATCGTCCACATAGGATGGCACGGCCGCCGCCTCCCGGCTAACTATAGCGTCCCAAGCTTTCGCGCTTACTTCTAGGCGGTCGTACTTGCCTATTCTCAGGATGGTGATGACCTCACCGACCTTATCCCCGTAGAAGGGCCCATACTTTAAGGAGAACCTATAGAACTCCTCGGTCAGCCAGACACATTCTATGTGTACTTTCCTCATGGAGTCGGCTACGTCTGCTATGCACTCAAAACCCCCGAACCAGTCAGCCACGAACTCGGGTACCCAAGCTGTTATGCGCAGGTAGAGAGGCCTGAGTTCTTTCCATCCTCCCATCACAACTTTGTTGCTAACTTCGTCCCACCCTTCATTGGCGAACCTCTTGCCTTCCTTCCGGGTTCGCGCCTCTGCATCCTCTAGAAGCCACATCAGGTCCTGCCCCATGGCTAACATAGTGCAAAACAGGTGCCATCCATCCTCAGAAAGGACAATCGTTCCGACTGACTCCACTTTTCCCTCTGCTAAATCATCCCAACCTTCCTCTTCCCTTATCGGGTTCCAAATTCGCTCTATCCATACATATGACAAGTCCCGGGCAACCTCAAACCCAATCCAATCGCACGTGGTCCCTCTCCATCCGTTCCCTATTGGTATAGGCATTTCTATTCCTCCTCTAAGTCGCCGTGGTTCCCAGCCTTTGAAGGGGTATTCCATCATCCTTTCTTCTCTAGTCATCTTCCCCTTTCCTGCACAATATCAGGCCACCCGTCCTCCCTAAGTTAAGTTTCCCCACTCCTCTCAGAAGTCCCAATCCTCTATCTCCTCATCCTCGTCCTCATCACCGAAATCGTCCTCTCCGTCGTAGAACAACTCTTTCACCCCCTCCAGAAATGTCTCCCCTATTGCCACATTTCTATACAATAGTCCCCCATTGTACAGGGCTAGAGACATAGATATTGTCTAAGCTAAGACAGCTTAGTATCTCGGCCAGTTCGTCCACCCAGTTCCCCTCAGACGGCCCCATTTCTACTGACAACCGAAATAAATCTTGCCTAGCGCATTGGTATAGCCCGAGGTTCGTCATGGACTGACATATTCGTACTAGCCTGCTCCGAGTTCCGAAAACCGCATCCACTAGGAAGGGAGGCAGCACACATCGCATGGTTCTTACGGGTCGCCTCATGCTTCCCCTATCCCCAAGTTCCACCCGCACATCTACCCTTTCCATTTCCATCTCGCTTCGCTGACACGCAGCCCACACGACCTCCGCTTCCGCCTTCTTAAACAATTCGCTCGGCGCATTCCCGAGTGTCAATTCTATGACCATAGCATTTTTCCCATCTAGCGACAAGTAGACCCACCCCCGAGCTTCCACTGTTCCCCGGAACTCCAAATCCATTAAACTTGGTGACAACCTTGTCAAGCTAACATTAGCTCATACTGTCTCTATCCATAGGAACGCGTCTTTCTCATCCAGCATCATGGTTTGATATGCTGGTTCAAGGTCCGTCCATGCCCCATCTTCCGGGAGGACGACCGATACCCCATCCTTTACGTCTACTGGCATCTCTGGGCCGCTGGTATAAGTCGGGGGAGACAACCATCGCGCCATCTTGTTTCCAGCACCCGGCCCCTGTTTTTCATGAAAGAGAACCAACCGGTTCTTCTGGTCAGGGCAGGGCAACCTCTTTTCTTAAATGAGGATTATTTCAGACCCCCCATTAAGGTCTCCCTAATTTACCTTCCCATTCCTAAGTACCTCTTTTCCCATAATTCCCTCGGTCGACCTCTATCCGTCTTCCTTCCGATCATCTCTCACTCGTGTGAACTTAGAAGGGAGGGGGAATAGACTTAGAAGAATACTCGTCCAACAATACAAGCTCAATCAATCTTTACGGGGGAGGGTACATAAAAAAATTAGGCAATCTCACATACGGGTCAGTCATCTCCTCACCGGCCATCCCAATATGGTCTCTCCGCTGATACTATCGGTAGGGTTTTATCCCATACCTCAAGCACAGCTCAACCATCGCGAGCGCGGTACCCTGGTCTCAGCAATGCATTCGCCCTTTCCTCCTTACCCAGAATACCCCATCCCGACTTGCCGCTCGTGTACCCACCGTTAATCTCGAGAATCACCCACACATCTCGGTAGGGTCATTGGAGTTAGCCGTCCAGGCATTCACTTCCATCGGTCCGATAAGGAACAGTTTTTCCCAAGCCATGCTACGAGAAGCTCTCAATCGCCTCCGAGGCTCCTTCCTTGCCCCATATGTAGTGGTCCCCCTGCCGTCTGCCACCAAGCAGCCGCCCCGCCTGAAGAGGTTTCACATCCCACTTGGGCAAGATTATCGAGTCATGCTCAAACCGCTCCAGTGAGAATGCTACTAGTCAGCCGACGAGACCAACCCTTGCCTGACAGTCCGGTGGCCCGACCCCCACAAACGGAACCCGGTGAACTTCAAAGAGAACGACCAGCTCGCATCCCGCACCGGTCGGCGCAAACCAATCTTTTCCTTCCAAATGGCAGGAAGCTCGAAATCCCAATCATGCAATCACAAGTCCCAAGTGGGACACACATAGTACAAGTGTCTTTCCCTTGGTGCACCCAGCGCTTCCTACCCATAACTCACAGATTTTCTCTCAGGACAATGAGCGTCACTCCCCCTACTTTCATGCATAGTGGTTGGTTCATTCTCGTGAGAATCTTCAAGGGTGAGCTAATTTTCCTTGGAGTCTAGCAACTCCCTTCATTCCCTCTTCTTCACTTGTATGTCCTTTCATAGGGTAGGATTGTTCTTTCTTGATGACCGGTTGTGTTCATATTGGTTCCTTCAATCATTAAAAAGGTGCAAAGTGCATTAGCCCCCTTGGCTCAAAAGAAGAAGGGGAAAGCACCCATCCGGTCGGATCACTCTGCCATGGGATTTTCATTGGAACCTGGCCTAAGCCAAGCACCAACCGCCTGCCAGGTAACCGGAGCCCTTCTTTCATACGAAGAGGAAGGGTCGACCTGCGACTAGCCTAAGGCTTCCCCGAACTGCGGAACACCAGCACCGGATGAAGGAGGGCTAGAGTCATTCCTCAAAGGAACGGATGATCAAGTGCAAAGCATGCATGTTATTCCTCCAGGCCTGGCCATGTCATGCGCCCAGCCACCCTCAAATCTGATTTCTCACAAGGGAAAGAGCAAACACAAGTCCATTTCCCTTATCTTGGGTTGTGTACACGTCAATGCGTCAGGCGCCTCCATCGGAATCGCAAGGGTCAATTTAACCCCCTGCCCGTCACCTCCACCATTTTTGTAGGGCCAAACCCCGATAGACTTTTGAGTCTTAGTCGACCCCACTGCGGGTGCCAATTGGCTAGGCCCGCTCATACTCATGCTCAGGGCGCGGGCCATTCGTCCCAAGGTCACCCCCACCTAGTGCCTTGGGATGAATGAGGGTGGGCCATCGTGCGAGAGAGCTTTGACGTTGGGGATGTAGCTCAGCCCTCACGCTGGGTGGTAGTCTCGCTGGTCGTTCCGCAACGCTGATTTTTTTTTATTCTTTATTGAGTTCTCAAGCAACTGCTCCTTCCAATACGCAGGCAGTCCGAGGGTTCTTTGAGCCTTTCTCTTCTCTTGTGCGTAGGCTAAGCGTCATCCTTAGGCCACGCACCATTTTCCTAAGCATTTTAGCTATATGGCATCATCGGGGTGCGGGGGGGCCGTCCTTCCCCTCGTCTCTACGCATCCATCGGATTTCTCAATTTGCTTCCCACCTTATTGAAGTAGGCCCCTTAGTCTTTTCGGGGTCATCATATGCATGCACACACAACATCACTTTTTCCTTGGCATGACAACACTCCCATTTGCACCTCAAGTCTTCAAACGCACAAGTTATATCCATGGGGTAGTTCTATGTCAAGGGTCCATAGCCCCTACGCCCTCTTCCCTTTCCCTCTTGATGCCCGGTTCCACTTGCCCCTATCCCGCTCAAGGCATCTTTATCCATCACTTACCTGCACAATCCCACACAAACAAGAAGATCCATACAATCCCCCATCGGGGGTCAACACATAGCCCTTCCCACATGCCTATTCTTTCAAGTCTTTTGGCTGCTCATTGTTCCCTCTTGTTGTTCAATCAGCCCATTCTCTTCTTATAGTCATGCAGTCAGGGAGATGGTTGAGTCAAACTGACCTCACTTTCAACTTATGCTTTCTTCCGGATTCCGCCTCTCCCACTTCCTTTTTTGGACATCCTCTCTCTTGCCTTCCTGGTGGCACAAGGGACCGGCTACCCCCCCCTTGTCCTCTTTCTCCACCAAATGCGGTCTGATTTCGTTCTCCGCTGGTGCCGTGACAATGTTTTCCAAGTGAGGGGGGAGAAAGGTTAGTCATATGCTAAGTGAGGGGAAGGGAGAGCGAGGGCCAGATGATGATGCGAGAGAGAGAGAGGGGAAGCGACAGAGAGAGAAAAAGCAAGGGGGGGGAAAGGAGAGAGGGGGAAAGAGGGGGAGAGAGAGAAAAGGGAAAGGGATAGGGGGAGAGCGAGAGAAGGAAGGGAAGAGAGAGGGAAAGAGAAAGAGAGAGAGAGAGAGAGAGAGAGAGAGAGAGAGAGAGAGAGAGAGAGAGAAAGAGAGAGAGAGAGAGAGAGAGAGAGAGAAGAGAGGGAGAGAGGGAGAGAAAGAGAGAGAGAGAGAGAGAGAGAGAGAGAGAGAGAGAGAAGGCAAGAGTCTTCTAGTCCTAATCAAGTCATCACCCCGTGATAGCAGCCCAATGCCGGTCACCCATCCCTTAAAGTAAGAACCGGAACATCAACACATGCTTGAACTTGACAAACGGAAGAAGTGAACTAGTGTTACACATGCACATGAAGGAAAGATTGACTAAGTAAGAACCGGAACATCAACACATGATTGCACTTGACAAACGGAAGAAGTGAACTAAAGGAACACATGCACATGAAGGAAAGGTTGACTAAGTAAGAACCGGGACATCAACATATGTCTGAACTCGACAAAAGGAAGAAGTGAACTTGTGAAACACATGCACATGAAGAAAAGATTGACTAAGTAAGAACCGGAACATCAACACATGCTTGATCTTGACAAAAAGGAAGAAGTGAACTAGTGTTACGCATGCACATAAAGGAAAGATTGACTAAGTAAGAACCGGAACAGCAACACATGCTTGAACTTGACAAAAGGAAGAAGTGAACTTGTGGAACATATGCACATAAAGGAAAGATAGACTAAGTAAGAACCGGAGCATCAAACATGCTTGAACTTGACAAAAGGAAGAAGTGAACTAGTGTTACACATGGACATGAAGGAAAGATTGACTATGTAAGAACCGGAACATCAACACATGTTTGACTCGACAAAAGGAAGAAGTGAACTAATGGACCACATGCACATGAAAGAAAGATTAACTAAGTAAGAACGGAAAAATCAACACATGATTGAACTTTACAAACGGCAGAAGTGCACTAATGGAACACATGCACATGAAGGAAAGGTTGACCAAGTAAAAACCAGAATATCAGCATATGTCTGAACTCGACAAAAGGAAGAACTGAACTTGTGGAACACATGCACATGAAGCAAAGATTGACTAAGTAAGAACCGGAACATCAACACATGCTTGAACTTGACAAAAGGAAGAAGTGAACTCGTGTTACACATGCACATGAAGGAAAGATTGACTGAGTAAGAACCTGAACATCAACACATGATTAAACTTCGCAAACGAAAAAAGTGAACTAATGGAACACATGCACATGAAGGAAAGGTTGACTAAGTAAGAACCGAAACAACAACATATGTTTGAACTCGACAAAAGGAAGAAGTGGACTTGTGGAACACATGCACATGAAGGAAGGATTGACTAAGTAAGAACCGGAACATCAACACATGCTTGAACTTGACAAAAGGAAGAAATGAACTAGTGTTACACATGCACATGAAGGAAAGATTGACTAAGTACGAACCGGAGCATCAACACATGATTGAACTTGACAAACGGAAGAAGTGAACTAACAGAGCACATGCACATGAAGGAAAGATTGACTAAGTAAGAACTGGAACATCAACACATGTTTGAACTCGTTAAAAGAGAGAAGTGAACTTGTGGAACACATGCACATGAACGAAAGATTGACTAAGTAAAAACCGGAACATCAACAAATCCTTGAACTTGACAAAAGGAAGAAGTGAACTAGTGTTACACATGCACATGAAGGAAAGATTGACTAAGTAAGAACCGGAACATCAACACATCCTTGAACTTGACAAAAGGAAGAAGTGAACTTGTGGAACACATGCACATGAAGCAAAAATTGAGTAAGTAAGAACCGGAGCATCAACACATGCTTGAACTTGACAAAAGGAAGAAGTGAACTGGTGTTACACATGCACATGAAGGAAAGATTGACTCAGTAAAAACCGGAACGTCAGCACATGTTTGAACTCGACAAAAGGAAGAAGTGAACTAATGGACCACATGCACATGAAGGAAAGATTGACTAAGTA